CTGCAGTGTCTAGTTCAAGTGTAAATGCTGAAATGGAGCACCGGAACATCTTTAACTATGGAAGAAGTTTTTCAGAGACCTACAACACCTTCTACATGCATGTAAAAAGCCAAAATGCATAGATGGGGCTCGTGTATAGACAGGATTTCAACAATTCAGTTTTAACAAACTTCTGAAAGTAATCAAAGCTGTTGGGATGCATTTTTTATTGCCCACTGAGTTTAGCTTGAGGATAAAGTATATTAATTTTGGCAAAGGAATTGTCCCTACATTCAACTTTCTGGGAGATCAGTACAAAGTTCAAGCCACTTCGAAGCTGTAGTGTTTTGCTCAAAAATGCTTGCGTCTTTGCCGTCATGATTGGAACTCGCTTTATGTTGTGTTTTTGATAGAACTTTTTCATGGTCTGAGATAGTACTAATGAGATCACTGAGCTTTATTTTGAATCCAAATACACTGTTGACTCACTGCAGATAATTATACTCCACTGAATCCAGTGGTTTTTGTGGTTCATTTAAACTTTTTGGATACTCGAGTTTTTGTTTTGTTTTTTCTAATGAAAGTCTACCTCACAAGCTCCACCATTTGACTCTCTGATTCCGTGTAGGACATTACAGGAAATGACTTTGGTTAGCCACAACTTTCTTCAAAAAAAGAAAGAAGAAGAAATAAAAAGCGCAAAGCAGTCCGCAATGAAGGCTGTTGGTAATGCAGTGGAAACCCAGTGTCTCCACTCAATGTATGCATGGCGTCTAGCCATATGACACATTTCTGATGGACAGTTTATTAGAATTTTTTTTAACCTTTGGTGCAAACTATTTGAAAATCAACAAATGGACACTGAAAATATTTAACTGTCATGCCAGACAAATCAATCTCTGACAGATAAATACAACTTGCATTAATGACCAAATGCTGAAAATAGAAAACTAAAACTAAACTGTAAATGTGCCTTCACTCCCACACTGTATAATGTTAGCATTTCATCCTAGCGGTTAAACGCTCTCTTGACTGAGCACCCTAAATACAGTTCTCTCAATATTGGTCTTATATTCTTGCAGAGGGCTGCAGTTTAAGTCATCAAGCTGCAGTTTGCAAAGACAAATAGAAACTTGTGGTTTATCCAAGTGGAGTTTGTATTCTAGCGACCGGTGATGAAAACACACATATTTATATGTTGTGTATTTTTCTAATTCTCATTTTGGCACAAACTCAAAAGCATTTCACAAAAAGAATACTGTGTTTTGAATGCAATGCAGTAAATAAGAATGTCCACGTTTCTCCCTGTGAGAGGTGTGTTTACTTTGGAGGTTTGGACTCTGGCCAGTGGAGGAGGAATAGTTTTCAGAAATAATCACGGGGCATACATATTACCCAAGATTCTCCTCTTGAAATGGTAAATGATACTCCTCTATATCCCTGGATGCAGGAGTCTGGTTTTTAAGACAGAAAGCTGAAACTCCATGCCTCATTTTGGTTTACTGTTTCACAGGGGCTTAAACACCACTATAAAGGCTGGGATGTTTGTTCTTAATGTGCTGGAACAGCAGTCTCACTCAAATGGCAGAAATAACTTAGAGAAATTGCAATATTTCACACTGATTTGAAGTGTGTGGAAAAATTCAACATATATCAGCATAATGCATGCAATTATTTAAATGGTGAAAATACATTATGCAGCTTCAGCTAGCCTTGTCACTTATTCTCCAAATCTTATTCTCCCCAAAGAGCCCTCATTTGGTGTTTTACGGTGGTGATGAGGAAAATTATCTGCCAGTACAAATTCTCTCATAAGGCTATAACTACCTTAAAACCTGGTGCATGTTATTGCACCTTAATAACTATGCAGGAAGTGATCGCTCGTATCGGAAAAGAAATATATGATCTCAAGATAAAGCTGATCGTGATAACGCTTTCTGCAGCATAACAGTCCCCTTAATGTAGAGGTTAGACGTTCAGTGTTTTTCCTTTAATTTGTCACCTGTCCGCAAATAGAAAGAGTAATGATAGTGGTGTTATTCTTACCAGAATAACTTCCACATCCACTGTTTCTGATTACCTATTGGTCATTACCTAAAGTAAGACTAGGCAGCTTTTCAGATGAAAATAGTGTGAACGTCTCAGAAGCTGTCAGTGGAATATTCTATATTGGCTTAGTTAGTACAGTAAACAGGTAGTATCTATCCTTGTTCGCCTGCGGTAAAATGTTATTCCATCTGTGGTTGTTTACTGTGCAAAGCCATAAACGTCTTCATTCTGTAACCTTATTCAGTTCTCAGACTGGACATCCTTATTTCAGGGCTGAAAGTAGTGAAAATATTGATGGATTGAGGTATTGTGGGTTTGTATGGAGCAAACCCACAACGGCTTGGTATTTACAGTTAAATTTAAACCTCGTGAAGTTGCGTACTTCTGTTAGAAACAAAGTATACATGTCTTTGTTCCTATCTGTACTTATTTATTATATTTCTCATTATGAACAGGCACAAGAGACGGCTGAAAAAGTCTTGAAAAAGGTTATACAACAGTTGGTTCCTATACGGAGCTGTATTGCCAACTGCAAAAATATAAATACTTCTTAGTAGACTGTACATCTACTATAGTAACTGTTATAGTAAATAAGTACATTCTCTTAAATGTTGTACTCGGGAACCAGTGTAAAATTCTTGTAATTTATTTCAGTACTGCAGTGTTTCGGTACTGTCCTTTTTATGGTTGGTTCTCAACATTTATACTGCTATTACTGCTGTAAAATTTCAGCATTTCATATACTTTAAATAAACACCACGGCAATTGGCTGTACTAAATTATAAATAAGAAGAATACAATATAAAATACTGTTGCAGAATGAGTAAGCTCACTTCCAGTATTTCTATACTCACAAAAAAGAGTATAAGAGTAAAAGTCTTATTACTAAAACTTATTTTTCATAAGATGTTTTATCTATAGCTAGAGGCTTGAACACAAATATTAGAATGCCAACATCAGCTTTCATGTTGTTTCATGTGGCACATCAGACCAGGTAATGTTTTTCCAATCTTCTGTTGTCCAATTTTGTTGAGCCAGTGTGAATTATGGCCTCGGTATCCTGTTGTTAGCTGACAGGAGCTGTACCCAGTGCAGTCTTCTGGTGCTGTATCCATCTGCTTCAAGCTTTAACATGTTGTGCATTCGAAGATGCTCTTCTGCATACCTTGTTTGTAACAAGTAGTCATTTGAATTGCTGCTGTCTTCTATCAGCTCAAAGTAGTCTGGCCATTCTCCTCTGATCTCTGACATCAACATTGGATATTTTCTGTGGAGATCAGCAGGTTCTGAAATAACCAGGCCAGCCCATCTGGCACATTCAAATTCACTGAAATCACCTTTCTTTCACATTCTCATGCTCAATTGATAATGGCTACTTGGTTAAATACACTGAGTTGGTGCCATGTGAATGACTGATTAGATATAACAAGCATACCTTAAAAATAAGGTACACAAATTATTTAGTTAACATCTGTCTGAACAAATTAACAAATATTGTAGAGACTAAAATAAGATTTTTCAGGGCAACAAGAGAAAATCAATTATATTACTTATATTTAGAGATAGAATCAGGCATGATCATTATATCACAATGAGATTCGACAAGCAAGTCTCCACACCGCCTTTACTTTGTACCTGCAGCTATCTGTCCATGGTTATATATTCCATTGTGTCACGTTTAAAAAATATATATTCTAGATCCAAAATGACTGTGATAAATGTTTAGAAAGGTGAATTGTTTATGCATAGATTTACCTTGTTTTCCCTGCTGTCTCTTGCTCATCAGTAAAACAATTACTTGTTACTATTTGAAGTGTTCTGCTTCTTGCTTTCATAGAAGCAAAATTTGATTTCTTCACATCCAGACATGTAATTTGTGTCTGAAACTGACAGATGCAACTGCAGCCAGGCAGTCAGCTGCTCTGAGTAAACGTCTGTCTTTAATTTGCACTATTTGCTCTGGATCACTGGACCAAAAAAACAAGACTGTGTGTGTGTGGGTTTTTTTTAGCCGCACCTCCAGGCGCTCTGTACGGCATACGTGTTAGTTTATGTCTCATGGTGTGCGTCTTATAGTTTTGCTGCAGTGTGGCTCAGAGAACAATGATATTGCCTACATGACAGCATTAAATATCCTGGCGATCTAGCCTTTAGTTTAGGCGGCCTGTTTTTTCATTCCAACTCTTCTTGTCATGCTCTGTTAAAAATGAATGTTGTCGTTTTCAGTACAGTCACATTTGTCAATGCCCGAAAGTGATCCACAGGCAAACAGCAAGTCAGTCAGTGTGACCTATTAGAATGGAAAAAGTTTCCCTGACTGGAAAACCACACCTGCGTTACCACGTCACCCTCATATAAAACGTTCAGAAGCTGAAAATATATAAGGGGTAAAAAAAACCAAACTGCACTGCAAAATGTAATTTTTGTCAGTGTTAAAATTTTCCTCATGTCGATCAGTTTACTGCTGGAATAAGCCTGCATGCTGCGAGTGAAACTGATGCTGTTGAGTCAGGGAAGTTTAGCTTTCATTTTATCACAGTAAGACTGATAGAACTCTTCAATGAATCCACTGATGTGGTCAAAGTACGGGACTTTCTAATATTTATCCACTGTATTACTGTCACTCATATCCGGTGAATTTTGGAGGTAGGAAACTGGATTTAATTTTTTTCTCCACAGCACCAGGAGCAGGGTTCCAGACAGTTTGACAGTTTTGAAGCAGCTGTAAAGAGAAATTAATGTCTAAGTCTGAACTGATTTTCATGCTCATTTCAGATCCAGAGGAGAGTCTACATCTGCAGCGAAATATTTACACTTTTATGTTGTTCTTGTCATTTTAACTGCCATGTAGCTGAGTTGTAATAGATGTTTTGTGTTGGAAATTTTCTTTGAAAGTATCTATTTTTCACACTATTCCTGTTTCCACTTCCATATCCTTCCGTTAACTCTGAGGCTTTCCCCCTGATTTGCAGGTTTACACCGATGATGTGCTGACAAAAGAGGAACAGTTAGAGTTTTTGTACAGAGCCAAGCAAAAATGTGAGGCCATCATCAAGGCAAAGCAGAGGATTCCTGGTGAGTACAGAAACAAATCTGTCAGTCTTTAGCCGTATGAGTGGCTTTGTGAGTCTGTAATGACAATACTGTTATTCTTCAGGGGGACTTGAACTTTCAGTATTGAATTTCATGGCAAAATGGTCAACAGCCACATAGGAGATTTAAGTAGGATTCATCATCAGGGGGCCGGAGGAATATCTGTATAAACCAGCATGGCTCTTTAATATTTATTCACATATTCCATTGTGTGCTACAGCTGTGGATTGAGTGCAGTCATGTGAAAAAAAAATCACAGATCCCTAAATCCAGAATTAAACCTTAAATCGCCTGTAGGATGTCTTTTAGCTGGAGACTCATTTTTAACCTGGGGCTTGAAATGGATGTGCACCGCTTCTCTTGCAAAAGCTGAAATCTGTAAAAAAAACAAAAAACAAAAACTAGGTTAAATGGCATATCTGCACACCTGACCCCAGCCCCTTACATTTTGTAGACTGGGGAAAGTGGTGAAAGTGGGGTGTGAGGGGTGGGGTGTGGGACATGTATGAACTTATCAAGGTGTGCTGTGGTTTAAAATGGGAACATTGCCTCCAGTTGTGCGTGTGCATGATAGTGCAGATTTGATTAACATTTAGTGCATGCACAGGACATTGTTTGCTTTTGGTTCATTGTTTACTCTGTTAGCCAGATTGTGATTCTCCTCATACCAAAGCAGAGTAACAAAGGGATTACAGAGTCAATGTTTGTCATGCAAATCACCCAGTAAAAGGGGTGTGTTAGAGAGATAACAGATACAAATCCATAAGTCGTCCCTAATAGCTTCTGTATATCGAATAACATGTCTTGTTTAGCTACAGATTATTATTACAAGATAACTAATAGCTAAAAACTGGAGGAAACTAATCAAGCAGAATGCGTGAAATTGAAATGGGATCATGCGTTTGGAAGGTGCCGCTTTATTTGCCTTTTATTATTGGTTTCCAATAGTGTGATTTTCCACTACCTGTTAAAGGTTTTTTAGTTAAAAGATTTCTGTCACAGGCACATTTGTCAAAGGCGTTATCACTTAAAAATAGTTTGGGGCTTTCCGCTTGTGAGGAAGCTCCCCAGTGAATTCTAGCTGAAGCTAGAGGTTCAATGTGGAGTGCAGTAAATCCCCCAGAGGCTGCACATGGCTGCCGAGCTGAAATATAATGTATGAGGCGGAGGATGCCATCAGACACGGGAGGTGTACCGAGAGAAGGCTGTGTATGGAGGGAGAAACCAATCAACAGTGAAGTTTACCAAGAACTGTGGAAGTAAACTGCATAACCAGCAACATGATGAACACAAGCTTGAAAGTAAAGAGTCCATCGAGACGCCATGTTGATTGAATGTGATTGGTGACTTGTTTGAGAGTGACTGTTGATTATAAGAGCTTAAACTAATCAACTGATGATGTTCATACTTCACCATAATAAGTAAATATTTAAATTAAAGGGACCGTTTTGCCTGTATTTCGCTGATATGTTAAAATCACGGCCCATTCTTGGAGCAGTTGCAAGACATTTTTTGTGAACTGTAAGTTGATGGTTACATTTAAAACCTCAGCTTTGTTTCCTTTGTCTTCTCTGTGGCTTTCCGAAGGCTGAGCTCGAAGGCAAACCTGGTCCTGGGGTGTTTTTCAATATTTATGGCTATCTGAAGAATGCCATTTTCCTGCAGACCCCAGCACACTGTATCGTCATGTGGTTGCTGTCATTCTCCCAGTTGATTGGAGAGGAATTCCACAGCCAAACCAATCATATTATTTTCTCTTTAACCCCAGTGCATTGTGGTCACATGAAATTCTTTGCCCTCCAAACGATACTCCTTGTAAATGAAACACATAATTAAAAACGTTTACTTCCTGGCTCAGAACACAAAAGCTATTGTTGACTGTTCCCTGTAGTTACATTACCCATGTGGTATGTCCCAACTTTTCATGGTTTTGATAAATATCCACTAGCTCAAATTAGATTAAAAAAAAAGTCAGAATTGCTACTTTTGAGAATTGCAGAGGGCCGAGCAGCTCTTACAGCACGCTTAACAAGATGGCTATAGGCGCCAATGCAGAGGAGAGCAATCAGTGAAACATCAGAGATCTCGCAGACGAGAATCTATCCTGACATGTTGTAGTGACAGGAAAGGTTGGTGTCACATGTCCGCATGCACCTCCGAGCGCATGCTATGTTCAGTACGAACAATGGGATAAAACCTAACATTTTGCACTATCTTGACTAGACATATGGGACTATATGTACATTTATATTTTAATCTGGTATAAATAGTTGATAACCACGGCCTTATTGCACTCGCATGTTCCTGTGTCTGCACATTAGGGGAGACTTTGGCGCTCAATCTGGACTCTAACAAGCCCATCGGGAATGCCTGACTGGGATTCTGTGAAATGCTTGAGGTGCTGTTTAGGGGGTACATCAGCACAAGAGAGCTGACCTGCATACCTGATGATGCTGGTGTGCCGAATGTGACTCATCCTGCATGTAGTGGTTTTTTGCTGACCTCTTTTGGAAGGTTGCACATGTCTGTTCAATCACATTACAGATGAAGAAATTAGAATAACCCTATTACCTTAATATAGAGTAGAGTCCTCAGTTAAGTCCCCCAGTGTGGTGGAGACTAACGGCTTGAGAAGCACATATGTGCTCCTTGCATGTACTTGTTTTGAGATTTTCTTTTTCCCTGTAATGCCAGATGAATTGCTTTAACCTTCATTTCGATTTGATTTGAACTCCAGAGCCACATCTGGCTGTTTGTAATTATGCAGTGTGGAAGTCATTTAAAATCTGGGTAGTGGGTTTGCTGTGATGTTGAGTAAAATTATAGATATTGTCAAGATTTTGCCATTAAGTTCAAAGAAAACCGAACTTGCGCTTTCTGATGAAGGATGTCAGTATTTTCCTTGAAAAAGTCATCAAGATTTCAGCAGAAATCACTTTTTAAGAGACATTTTCCTTCCTTTTTGCATTGTGGCGTGAACTTCAAACCATGGGTTGAGATAAACTGATTGCACCAACTACTAGCTTTAGATTTATATCTGTAATTGTTTTGCCTAATCTCCCAGGATTTTTTTTCTGGCTCTTTAACTGTAATCCTGTGGCTTTTTGAACTATTATTGGAGATTAGGAATTACGACGGCTTCAAATGGCAGCAGAGTAAAATGCAGAAAGTGTAGAAAAACTATCCAAAATTATGTGTTAATTAAGAAAGCTTTGAGTGCTGCTTGAAAGGAAAAGCCGTTGTGCTTCATTTGGGCTTCAAATGTGTAAAATTCACCATTTGATGCCTGGGACAAGGTTTTCTTTGAGGGATGCAGTGAGGTTTGCCTGGGGAGGACAGTGGAGGGATGTGGGTTCAAATCCCCAGACCTTGCAGTGTGAAAATAGCTCAACCTTCAAGCTTGTGGTCTGGGTGTAGAATAACTTGGGGAATCATTATAAAAGGCTGCATGTATCAGGAGGAACTGCATGCAGTGAGTGTTTTGACATCTGCAGGTCAGAATCACATGAGTTGGGGGAGAAAAAAACATTCTTCAAACCCCAGTGACATCACAAATACCAAAGTCCCCCCGTAGGCACGTTTATATTTAAATTGTGGTCAAAAAATTTACAGGAAATTGTATGTGTGTGTGTGTCTGTGTGTTTGTGTGTTTAATTTAAGCCTGTTAGTAGGTGGTCCTATGGTAGTAAAACCTATGGCAAAAGCAAGCAGCAATTCCACTTTTACTCCCAGGATGTGTGGTCAGCGTGATTTTCAAAACTAAACGCATTTTTTTTCCCACCATGCATCTGCAAGAATCAGTCAGCTCCACTCAGTCTACTCTTTAATTTTGTGCTCCCAGTGACAAGCAGTTAAAAGCAAGTCGTCATTTTGTCAGATGTTTCTTTGTAAGTTTGATTACAGGAATGAGAAAATAATGGATCTACTGCAAAGAGAGGAGAGTTTTAGTTCTATGCTTACCTACTTATTAGTGGTCAAAGTGGGGCAGATGTTTTCAATAATACAACATAAATGCCAAGCCATAAGAGAGGTTTTGCCAAGAATCTGTGGTGAAAGGGACTCCGCTCACACTATCAGCAGGCTCCGTTCCACGGTTTAGCTGAGAATTAGGGGACTGTGTGCACTCATAGGTTTTCCCCCAACTTTGAACGTATAGTTCTTTGTCTGAACTTAGCACAGATGCATTATGGCAAAGTTTAATGTAGCACAGTCTTTGCTAATAATTTGACACAAAATTTTCTGTTGTGATCACCGGGATCACCATGCATCTTGTAAAAATGTGGAGAAAACTTTTTTAGCTTTAATGATTCCTGGTAAAAATTTTTGCATTCATAATCAGCCTCATTTAAAAAAAAACGAGAGAGAGAGAGAATTATTATCATTAACCAATTCTGTTGTTCAAAGAGAAATATGCAATAACTGTTTTTCATGTGATATTTTTATATGTAAAAAAATGAATGCAAATATGGGATTTCATGATCATGATCATTATTATTATTGTTGTTGTTATATTATTATTATTATTATTATTATTATTAGTCAATTCTTTACTATATAATTTATTGTTATTAATAAAGTGAAATCACCCAAACCACTATGGTCACCTAAGTCCAGACTGATACAAAATTGTAGTTCCTAACACATTTATTAGACCACGTCTCATAAAAAAAAAACCCCAAAAAAACAAAACAAAACTGAAAACTAAAAATGACTGAATTCAAATTTTACCTAAATTTGAACAGGAAAAAAAAGAGAATTCTGAGAACCATAAATTAATCATTTATTACAAAATTACATGTTTTATTATGGTTGTTTTGAAAAACAGTGAATCTGAAAATTCATGTATATTAAGAATAACTATACTTTAGCACTAAAAATGTGATTTTGATTAAATAGCACAGCTGTACTGTTGGATTAGCTGTTATAGAACATAAAACAATATTTTGGTAATCATAAATACTGTTAATTTAAGGAAGGACTGGCACAAACCTTTTAGTCGGTGGTGGTCTAAAACATGTTGAGGACTGTAAATTGTAATGAGAACTTGAATTTTTTTTTTCAACTTAATTACTAAATTTTTAAAATAAATATTTTACATTTTCAAAAAATTAATTTAAATATACATAAAATTGTTGCACTGGGTATAATGATTGGCCAAATAAGACATTTGTTTTACATCTTATCACCATTTTTCCCATTCTCTAAAATTTCATTCACCCTAGCAAGACATAACTCTGTATGTAAATGAATAATCAAATTGGATGTTGTTAATTAATTGAATGTGATCCATCTAAAAAAAAACCTCAAAACATATGATACATATTGAAAGTGAATTATATAATATAGTGCTGTTATTTAACCATAATTTGCCAGTTAGGGCACTACAATGCAGCTAGTGTTGCAGGAAGTCTTTAAATAAGATCCATGCTAAAACCAATTCCATACAACATTATAATGGTTGTTGTGTTATCAACAACGGAGCAGTTATGGAAATATCCGGCAGCTAACAAACAAGCCTTAATGAACACACCACACCAGATTCAATGGACAACTTGTTGTCAGCATGCGGGAAATTCCATGGTTGCAAGTCTTAATTATGTGACAATAGATGGGAAGTGGACAGGCATGTGTTTTCTTTTGGTGACCCATGTTTCCCACAAGTAGAACAAATATGAATAAAAAAAAAAGGGGGGGGGGGGGGTCAGTTATGCCACACATGAAATTACAAGGCTGCTTTTGCAGTGCCATTCCAGTGCTGTTTATGTATCGTGTGTCTGCTTTTTAAAATTCAAACAAAAACCCTGAAAACAAGCAGATCTTGGAAATGCCTACTGACCATTACTGCAGTGCTATAGTCATGACAGGATTTGGTTTTAATTCAACTCTTTTCTTTTCTCTGCAGATGGTTTCTGCTCACCAGATTGGGATGGCATTGTTTGTTGGCCTGAAGGGCCTCCTGGGAAAATATCCACTCCCTGTCCAGAGTATATCTTTGACTTCAACCATAAAGGTAAGCTTGGCCCTGGATACAGTAAGCAGTTAAATCCCTGAATTTTAAAATGAGTTAGGCTGCGCTCTGCAAATTCATTGCAAATTATAACTCGAGCTCTCTCTGAACCTGCTTTGGAAATTTATTGAATTATGCAGCTTTAAATCTGTAATTAAAAACAGACTTCTTTTGTTGATTTCTAGGATTAGCACACCGTCAGTGTGACAGCAATGGGATATGGCAGCTGGCAGCAGCCAACAGAACATGGGCCGATTATACTGAATGTTCAAAACACCTCCCCGAATATAACCCAAGCTATCAAATGGTAAGATCCATCTGATTTCCATTTACATGCTGACACTGTCTCCCACCAAAATAATTAACAGCAGCACCATAGCAAATTGTCTCACTTAAGGTATTTAAGAAAAAAATGTACCCTGCAATTATACTTCCTTTGAAATGCGTAACAAATTAACAGCATGCCTTCTTAGTAATGTGCAATGCAAATAAAGTCTGATCGTATTTACTGAAATGTTGAGAAGATGATGAGGGGATAATGAAAGGATATTCATGTGGTCGCTTTGTGATAAAATGGCTGTAACTGGCTAAATTTATGTTATAATACAAAGTGAAAACAGTGCCAGATTAGTCTTGAACTGAGTCATTCCCTCGCAAATCTAAGACCACTAAGAACTCACCAGACATGGCTCAGTTGAGTAACTTAACAATAATAAGACCCGCAGTTGCACAGTTGAGTCATGCAGCTACATTCGTCGATTTTAATGATTTTTATGCATCCTTTCTTGTGAATGCAGTATCGTCAAATCTTGCACAAATGTTCTCTTGGATTAAGGAAGAACCGATTAGATTTTCATCTTCTTTGAAAACCATTAGTGTGGAGCATTAGCAAACATTTTTATGCTTTTGCAACAGCCTCGACCATTTTGGGAAGACTTTGCTGCAAATCTTTGATATAACCTCGACAGCATCACTAATAGGTGACGAGACCTGGATGCTAGTCAGGGGTCCACCTTATTACAGGTCTCTTCGAGGTGTTTGATAGGATATATGTCAGGGCAGGCCAGACCTGTGTAGGCCAGTTACGTCTGACAACACACACATATAAAAAAATATATAATATGCTATTTCCAAGTGTGTGCATGAAATCTATAATATAAAAGTCAGTGAGTGAAGAGTTGAGAAGGTTTTAACAAAATTTTTAGGATGGTTTGGAAAGGGTTAATGAAGTTGCACCTCATACTGTAGTGCAATCTATTTCATTGATTTGAGGCTATTGCAGTGAAAGGTAATTTCTTATGACCATTTTATGCTGTAGAATTATTATTTTTCTTCTCTAAGGCCAAACCATAAAAATTGACATACTTAGGCCCAGGGTGGAGTGTGTTGTATATTTAGCTCAGCTAATGTTTTAATGTTAGAGCTTTGTTGTCATTTACCTGACGTTATAATTAATTATCATAATGAGGTCTTTATAGTTGTTGTATTTGTTTCATTGTTTCATAGCAGACCTGTCAGCTGATAGTATTTCTTTGCTGTGTATCCTGACACAGTTGCACATTTTAAGCGTCTTACAAAATGGAAATCTTTAACTTTAATAAAGAGGATTATGTGTTGCATAATCTGTAATACCATGAGCACCAACAGCACCATTACACTGCAAAGCATCGTGTGGAAACAGTTAAAAGAAGAAGAACTACTACAACCCAGTGTGACTGACAGCTAGATGTGACCTTGATCGCAGGTGCCTGTGCAGAGTTCCTCTACCATCGCTCGGGGTGTTAGATGTCAGTGCTGGCAGTAAATAGCTCTTGTAAGAAGGATGGAAAACTTGTTAAAAATATTGATAAATGAAAACATTCAAAGGCTGTGAGAAAGCCGTGAAAGCTGTCATGCTTTGATCGTCACCCTTTTCTGGCCTGAAACGATACGATACCGCTGTCATCTGTATGACGTCGAATGTTCAGATCGATGTTCCAACAGAGGAGCAGTTGCAGTAGATAATGATAAATATGTGTGCATGAACTAAAGCAAACAGCAATACTGCAGACGCACATTTTTTTCTGGCACAAGATCCTGATGCTAAATGATAACAGCAGTGTAGTATCAACTTACATCACAAGGAGGTCCTGGCACTTATTAACTTGGTGACGTGCAGCCAGGCTTCTTCTGCTGGAGGATTAAACTACTGCCCAGTGTACTGATGCTTTCCAGTGACAAACCAGGTTATTTGGAGACATCCTTAAATAAATTTTCCCAACAAACAGGATTAGCATGTCTGACTAAAACATACAGCGGATCAAACAATGCAATTAGGAGGGGATAATGTGTCTGTTGATATTCTAACAAATTATCCTTTTCCAACAGGACGTCTTTCACCGTCTGTATCTCATTTACACGGTTGGGTACTCGGTCTCTTTGGGGTCGCTCATGGTGGCTGTGGTCATTTTGGGATATTTTCGGTGAGTCGATGCTGCTGCTGGACTTTTTCAATCAGTACTTTCAACTACAAATGTTCCCAAAAGAGAGGGCGTTTGATCAGGTCAGAAATTAAGGTTAGAGCAATTGGAGAAGGGATCAAAACAGGGAGTCCAAATGATTCACAGCATGATGGCATGCTGTGAATCCCCCATCACCCCCACCCCGACTCCACCGGATAATCGTGCATCGCAATATATGTGTTGTGTCACAGCGACGGCACGGAGCACACAATCTATATCAAGCATTACCTTTGACTTTTACTTTGACTTTTAACAGACTATGATATGACTGCCTTTGAGGAGGAGCCTGCCTTCAGGCGTGCTGTAATGCATGCCTCATTGCCTGACATTTAGGTTCTTTGTTATTTTCATGCTGATTTCAGATTTCGCTGACACACAACCAAAGTGTGTATGCTGAGTTTTTATTTTTTATTATTCCTCCCAGCTTACAAAGATTACATTTCCTAATCAACATCCACCTTTTCCCACATGTAAACATCTAAACAAGGGAGTGAAGGGATGTGAATTCAGAGCAAAGTGCTGTGTTTGAAAAGCTCTCCTCCTACTGTGCAAACATAAGAGGTATCAGCCTTACCTTAGGGCTACTTTCTTAAATGAAAAAGGAAAAAACCTTAAAACAAGGTTGAATTCAGTCTGAAAATGTCTGTTTTTTTTAATCATTTTGATTAACACAGGGCAGATTTGTTATTATTTGCTTATTTAGTTGAGCACAGGGACTATCACTAATCAATGGGAAGGAACTGTTTACCAATGCTCCAACCGGCGTGACTTACTGTACAGGCAGGCAGTCAGAAGGTTTTTAGGAATGCTCCCAACTGGCACCAGGAAATCTACGGGCAAAATGAGTTTAATAAGTTGTCCCAGGGGCCCATCTGACATTCTGGCTCTGTGCTCAGAGCACTCCAGCCATGTCTCCTCTTTAACACATCAGCTTTTAGACAGGAGAGTTCATAAATGTTTTCCAGGGAGAGAGAAGAGGGGATATTTTGCATTACCACTTGTGTTCAGAATTTTTCACTGGGGAAATGTACGCTAGATTAGTTTTTCTCAATCAATAGCTCTCTGAGGGTTGCTCGTCAAAGAATTCAGCTCATTAAAGAGTCTTTAGAGAAAGAAACAGTGGGTAGAAATTACACTGATCTAATGTCAGCGTCAAGTAAATGTTGACAAATTTAGACTTTAAACTGTCATGTCTTTTTTTTTTTGCACTAGTAAATATTCAAGAAATTTTAGCATTGACGTTTTGTCTTGACTGCAATAATGTAGCCTTTATGGCTATTGATCCTGCAGCTCCCTTTGGAGCACAGTGCCAGAATCACTTCACAGTTGCAAATGTTAACATTTCTACAAATGTTAAGAATGAAGAATTTTTGACTGATAAACTTGTGCTTTCGTGGAAGCAAATTTGGATCCCTTTCAACACATGCTTGCAATTTCGTTTTTACTGCTCACTTTGAGTGTAACGATTTAATATTTGTGTGTTTCAAGCTCCTAATTCTTGAGAATGTGTTGTAGTCAGCGTGGAATTCAGCTGGCTCTAATTAAGATGCGTATTGTTTGTGTGCGTGTGAAAAGTCGAGCACAAACTTAACATTGAGGTGTACCAACTGTCTAAAAAAAAGAAAAATAGGAAAAATTTCTCACATATCTGATATTTGACCATACCACTCTTTTTTTTCTCTCTCTCTTTTTTAGACGGTTACACTGTACCAGGAACTACATCCACATGCACCTCTTTGTGTCCTACATGCTAAGAGCTATAAGCATTTTTGTAAAAGACGTTGTTCTCTACTCCGGATCGACATTAGACATGGAAGGAGTCAGTGTGGAAGACATCAAGTCTATTTCTGAAGCCTCACAAACCGACAAAACGCATTTTGTAAGTAAACCAAATAGAAACGGAAGCAGCAGATAAAGTTGTTGTCGTAGTCAGTGAACGTGCAGTACTCACAAAAAAATATAATGTCAGGATTTGTTTGCTTTACGTGTACACATAATTTGATTAGTGGTGCTTGGTGTGAAGAGTTGTGTTTCCGCATGGGAAGTGTTAGGTAAGTTTTGCAGGAGTCTCAGTTGCTTTTCCAGTACTGCAGCAAATAAACTGTACTGCTTGTCACCGTGCCAAGGTTTTACTAGGCCAGGACTTGGCTTTCCTGAACAGAGTCAAGTCTGAAAAAATTTGTAAAGACTGTGTACTTTTCACGGATGCTTTAATACACAAACAATTTACACTATATATTTAGGGATATCTTTCATCCTCTGTATCTCTGCAAAGTGACTTATACTGTATTCAAACTGCTTAGTAAGTGAAATATTGTGTGTGACACAATGAGGGAACTTAGGTGTGTGTACTCTGGCATAATTCATCATTTTATGTATGGAGCAAATAACCTTTTTCAACCACTTATTTTCTTAATTAAGAAAAAGAAAATGTAAGGTCTGAACCACAGACCAGTCCGATCACAAAAGGTCTGACGCTCCTGCAGAAATCACAGGCTGAATATGTGTATATAATGCAAAGCCTTCTTCTTTATAGCAAAATTGGAATTAGGTACAGCAACTTATTGCACTTTATTAATAAGGATGTATGGAAGCTCAACTCAGTCTGAGCTCTCTTACTCAAACTTTAAGTAGTCTTCATGAATAGTCCCCGAGGCTTCTTAAAGAGATTCCAAAATTCCTATTTGGATGCTTGTTCTGTTCTCTGTGAAGATATTGCTGCAGAATTTTTGACACACTGCAAACCAGTTGAAATATGTCAAGTTTTCAGCTTTGGGAATCACCTGTTGGTTCAAAAATACCTGTCAGACTGTGTTATGTGCGTACTTTTTGTTTGTATATTCAGCTAAAGAAATGGAAAGAAATTATGGGTTTAATGATACTGTTTAAAATTGGTTCTTTGCTAAGTGCAAGTTAATTGTAGACACAACACTCGCTCGTCCTTTGAGTTGTGTGCAGTACTCTGTGCTTTGAGTCCCAACTTTAGTGTTTGCGGTTAATTTTGTTGGTAGTCTATTGATACATTTATGTCACATTGCTTTTAAAGATTAATACAATTGGCATGAGAGACACCGATCATTCACATATAAAATGTGCTTCCCGTATGTTGCATGGTGATAACGCACTTAGTTTCAAAACTTTATTCTGTGCATGAAATAAAACATTTTCACTCAGAACTTTGAAACAGTGGGTTCAAAAGCTTTGTTCCACACAAATACAGATAATGGATTAAGACACTGGGATGGACACAGAAAATAAGAGGCTGCGAATAACACAGGAACAACATTTGTGAATTAGTGCGCTTGGGACTGATAATTAGACATTGCGTAAGAACTGAGTTAAGCCAGTGAACTACATCCATTCTCTTTATTTGTGGTAGAAATATATATAGATAAAAAGAAGTCAAACATTTAATTAAATTATTATTTAATTGAATGTTTTAATAAAACAGACGCATTTCAGAAAGCTGCAATAATAATCCATTGGTCGACCATATAACACCGTAACTATGAAGCGCAGATGCTGTGAAAAAACTCCACAGTGGACTCTGTATGTGCTGTCTGCATGCTTTTAATCTGCATATTTAACATGCAGCATATTTACCAGACTTATCATCTGGTCTTAACTCGCTAGCATGATGATGTTTTGGTTCATTTACAGTACAAACATAACACAGCAGAGGTTAACAGAAATGCTGTTAGTTTGCAGGTGATGAATATTAACCTGTTGCTAACTCTAGTACAATTACAGCAATGTTTATTAATGTACACTGTCCCTGTTAAAAATAAACAAACTCAGTTCTATTCAATTCAATTTTATTTAAATATTTAGAAATGATCAAAATAATCAAACAAATAAATAAATAGACAATTACTGATCACATGGAAACTTATGAAGGTACTAGAAAAAAAAAAAAAAAAAATCAAAAGATTACCAAAGCCAGTCGTGGTAGACGCTAACCTCTTTTTGTCTGTAATTCCACTGATACCCATCTAATAATCTAATAATTGCTAAATTTTGTAATCAAGAATCTCAACCCTATAATGGGAAAGGCAGATGGCCACAACGCTTGAGACCTGAAGCTTTCTTAATAAGTGAAAACGTATACTTGCTGGTGGTGGGAGGAAATTGATCCACGCCCTCTGGGGACCAACAAAATTTAACAGCAATCCATTAATGCTCAAATGCGTACAATGGATTGTTAGCACCCTATTATGGGTTATGTCTGGGAAGGAGTCATATCTCTGTAACTACTCGCCCCAGTTTGTTTGTTTTTTCAGAAATTTTCTCATCCCCCCCACCCGTAAAAAAAAACAAAGACATGTTATTTTTTATCAGAAAAAGAGTCTGGCTAAAAAACCAACATATACAGTAATGAGCCTAAACTCACACAGTGATCCATGAGCAAAATGTGGGATGGCCCGAGGGATGGTTTTGTCGGAAAATCCCAGTAGATCAACAGTTTCTGAACGACTCAGACCAGCCTGTCTGCCACCAAAAACCATGCCACATTCAAAGTCGCTTAAATCACCTTTCTTCCCCATTCTGATGCTCAGTTTGACCTTCAGCAGGTCATCTTTACTATATCTCCATGCCTAAATGCATTGAGTTGCAGTCATGTGATTGACTGATTTGCAATAATAAGCAGTTGAACAGGTATACCTAATGAAATGCCAGGTGAGAGAGTCTTCATTTTTCTGACACTATCAGAGTTGTAAATTGCCAATATATCATTCATGTTTATACTAGCTGGAGGTCAGCTAACAAGATTTTAACCTCGTTCGTGCCTCTAAAGTTGCTCAACAATTAGCGGTGTGGCGAAAAGCAGCAGGAGTGAATCCTGCCTGAAAAATAATCATGCCTGTGGTGAATAATCTGAACATGAGTAACATAAGCCATATTGTTTTGCACCTTTCAACAAGAGGTCAGTCAAACGTGCATGACATAAAAATGCATGAAGACAAAAGTTGCAGCTGCAGACACAGATAAATTAGAGCATTATTAAATGGGAGACTATAAAAAATAAAATATATTTTAAAAAAATGGGTAAAGCACTTAATGTGTGAATTAATTTTATTTATTACAAGGTTGTAGCAAACAGAAATATCTAAGCCTTCAGTGGAGCAGTCCTGCTGAGTTTTTTTCATCTTATCTGGATTTTTTGGGAGCTCATTTCAGCGCTGATGCACAGTATTGCAAAAATATATTCATTTCTCAATGCAATTTTGACAGTGTGCAGGACTTTGTTTGCAATGTTAGATCAGTTTCCCCTGCTCATATTCAGCTGTCTCGTGAAATACATGTGCAAAGTGTTTTTCTGCTCAGCTGTGTGATGCATAAAAACCAAATTCTTCCTCTCCATGCTTAGTCCTGACCCTGGGGGATAGTGAGTAAAACCGTACCCAGACAACTTGAGAGGCGTGAATGGTCCATAATGTATCAGCAGGCGTGAAATGTATTTTGGACCCAAACCTTCCAGTGGCCTTTAAACCAAGCAGTATTTGATATTCAGCTCTGTGGCACATAGGAAACCAGCGCTGACATGAGAAAACTGTAGAGGCCCACAATCCATGTCAGTGTCATCATAAAAACCTATTGAAAGTGCCCTTCTAGTTTATCACCTGTAGCTGAAATCAGAGTACCATAGGTGTATGTTAGAGTTATAAGGTATGTGTTTAAACTTTAAATCTGTTGCTTCTTTTCTTCTTCTCTCTATAGATTACCTGTAAGGTGGTCGTGACCTTGTTTATGTACTTCCTGGCAACTAATTACTACTGGATTCTCGTGGAGGGTCTCTACCTCCACAGTCTCATTTTTATGACCTTCTTCTCCAATAGAAAGTGCCTGTGGGGATTTACTGTGATTGGATGGGGTGAGTTTGCTTGCTTAATTTACATTGTACTTGCATGTTCAGTAGATCCATTGACCTGCAACGCAGCTCTTATCAAAGGAATTAAATTTTTGATGGTGTAATTAGCATGCAAATAAGTTGGAACACTTTGAGGTACTTCCATATCTGCTGATGAAATTCTCATGAATAAGAAAGGACAATGGAGAATGACTCATCTGGAGAAAAAAAAAAGAAAAAGATTTTGAATATGGGCTTTACAGTTCCTGCATTGTACACACTGTGCGTATAAATGTCATAAGCACAGCGCATACAATGTGGATGCTGTGCTACCCGGATTCTTCTCACATGAGCAAATTATTTTTTGTCTTTTTGATAAATTTTTTATGATACCAAGTTAGACATTTTTTATTTTATTTTGCAGGTGTACCAGCTGTGTTTGTAACCATTTGGGCAACTGTGAGAGCCATGTTTGCAGACACAGAGTAAGTGATCCATAGAAGCAATTTAGTTTCACTACTTTCCCATTAAGTGTGTGTGTACAGTTGTGTATGAATTAACCGCACATATTTGGTATTAGTGTGTCCAATAAAGCTTAAAGTGGCCAAAAATCAGTGTATTCAAATTCGATTTACAAATGGGCAACTTCACCTGGGTCAAAACTGCCAAAACTCCCAAACCAGACGGGCAGAACTTCAACCACCTCCAACTACCATTATCTGCAGCGTCCACATTGGTCCTGTACCACAGTAAAACATGAAGTTTCTGCAGCTGGGAGCTCGCGACTAAGCTAGTATCCAGCAGCTGTAGAGTGGAACTAAACCACATAATTCTCTTCTCTGTCGGTGAGAGAGCAGCAGAACATTTCTGCCTCCTGTCTGGGTTGTTTTATTGTTGTTGTTTTTTTTTAGCAAAAAAAACCTACCATACATGATGATAACCACAATATGTACCTTTGCAATATATTTGGGAAACTGAGTAAACATAATAATATCCATATGGCTTAAAATCTAGCAGTAAAACCGGCCTATGGTTAATACCATACTTAACCTAAATCAAATGCTGTCATTGTGCATTGTCTATAAATCTTTGAAATGACATCTGGGGTCAAGTGAACTTTTAATTCCAAATAAAAAGAGCAGATTTTGTTATTTCAAAGCCTTGCAAATCTTAAAGTTCTTTGAGAGCCATAAAACATGACCTGATGTTGTGTTTGTGCCCTTTCTGTATATCCGACATGATGGCAGAAAACAATACCCCCCCCCACAAAGAAGGTTGTCATATCACTTGTTTATTGATGCCTTGTTATTATTTGTCTATCACAGGTGTTGGAACCTAAGCGCAGGCAATTTTAAATGGATATATCAAATGCCCATCGTGGTTGCTGTAGTGGTGAGTACGTGCTGATTTCAACTTTCCCCTACCGTGTGCGAAATGACAGTGTTTCGCTGCACCTGTGGCATCACAGCTGATGGATAAGACACCTTTCAGTGATTCCAATTACATCTAATTCTAACATTATGTTTCTATTTCCTCTTCAGATTAATTTTCTGCTATTTCTGAACATCGTCCGAGTCCTGGCAACTAAACTGCGAGAAACAAATGCTAGAAGGTGTGACACCAGACAACAGTACAGGTGCTGCGTACTAGCAAAGTGCAAAATTATTATTTCTTTTTTTCAATATTTTCTTTTCTGAGTCATGTTACGATTCATTTGAAATTTAATGCTGCAACCAGCAAAGGTAACATTTAGCTACATCATGAGATGCACACGATATGGACAAAAGTCTTGAGCCACATCTCTTTGTAAAATCATGGCTAGACTGCATCTAGCCATGCAGTCTGCCTTTACAGGCATTTGTGAATTAATGGGTCGGTACTGTAATAGTATGTCACCATTGCAACAAGTCAGTTTGTGACATTTCTTTCCTCCTAGATATTTGCGATTAACTGCAAGTGATATTACTGCAAAGTGGAAGAGCTGAGGAACCACAGCAACCACAGTAAAGTTACAGAGCAGGGTTGCTAAGCGCTGAGGGGTTTAGTGCGTAAAAGTCACCACAGCTCTGCTGACTCTGTAACTGCAGAGCTCGCAACCTCCTCTGGCATTAACATCAACACAAAAATTGTGCGCCCAGAACTTCATGGGAGAGCAGCTCCTGTACGCACCTTTGTCCATATAATGCATTTTTGTAATCACTTATGCTTCTCGGGGTGACAGTCTATCCCAACTGTCAAAGTAAAATAAATCCTGGGAACATACTCGACAGGTTTCTAGTCCATCACAGTGCACGTACAAACACACCTAACCCTAAACGACACACTTTTATCTGCAGTGAATTTCCCCACATAGCCTAAGTCTTACAAATGTGGGAGAAAACCCACACAAACACAGGGAGATTAAACGTGGGAAATTCTCAACACAGACTACAAGGTCATCTTCAAATTGCATTCCAACTGTTCTGCACTGTTCAGCATTCAATTTCAAATGATTTCAAATATCATCAAAAAAATCATCAAACCCTTGCATGTAAAAAGCTGGAAATTAAGCTTGATTTGTGTATTTATTTATTTTTTGCTAACAAATGACTTTAACCTTCAATCCACCAACTCATCTTTATTGTTGATCTATCAAAATGAGATGTTTATAAAGTATTGTGTTACGATTTTGAATGTTACAGAAAACTGTTGAAGTCCACGCTGGTGCTGATGCCTCTGTTTGGCGTCCACTACATCATATTCATTGCCATGCCATATACAGAGGTGCATGGGATTCCATGGTTGATCCAAATGCATTACGAGATGCTCTCAAACTCCTTCCAGGTAAAAATCCTGTGATGAAAATTTCATTTTATTCTGATATAAATAATGATGTGCTCAAAAAATCTAATAGGCGTGATTTTTCAGGATTTTAAATGTCCTAAGGGTTAACCTTATCACCAAAAACCAGTTAGTGAATGTCCAGTTGTTGCTTATTGTTTAGTTCTTGAGTTATGGTTAGATCCTAATCAAGATTAAAAGAACAACAGGAGTAGCTGATGACTGAAAATATCAAACAAAATTCCAAATTTTACAGCTAAAATGTTAAATTAAAGTGCATTGCAAAGATATTTCACTCACGGATAATGGGAGTAAAAATCACTGTTTTCTATATTGCAGGGATTCCTAGTGGCAATTATATACTGCTTTTGTAATGGAGAGGTAAGAACTCAGAAATGTTGCCTTTTACACATTTTTACTTCTGCTTTTATGCATAAAAAAAAGTATTTTCTCTTCTAAGGTGCAAGCTGAGATAAAAAAGTCCTGGAGCAGGAGAACTCTAGCCCTGGACTTCAAAAGAAAAGCTCGAAGCGGCAGTAACACTTACAGCTATGGACCTATGGTATCACACACCAGTGTTACCAATGTCACTGCCAGAGGACCGCTGGGCCTCCACCTCACCACGAGGCTGGGACCGGCGCCTGTGAATGGGCACAGGAACCTCCCTGGGTATGTGAAAAATGGCTCCGTGTCAGAGAACTCTATACCGTCATCGGGACAGGAGCTCCACATTCCAGCCGAAGAGCATTCTGCGCATACTCGGCCTTGTGAGGACGAAAAACCCTCGCCCGTGGTTGAGGAGGAGAGGGAGACAGTCATGTGACCTGCAGGACGCTGTCTTTGTCGGTGAAAATCGAGGAAAGAAAATCATCACGAAACAGTCTCAGGATGCCTGCATGCATCGACACTGCCAGTTTTTTTCTCCTGTGAATTGAGCCGGAACATTGCCAAGCGATGAGGCTCGAGGCAGAAAGGCCGTATCGCTTTTGCGGGCTTATTTGATGGGTGATGACTGTCGTTGTTGCAGCAAATAACTCTTTCACCAACCGCCTGCCACACTGAATGTGTAAAATGTTGAGAAGAGGATTGCCGTTCTTTACTTCTTATTCACTGCCATAACTGTTGTTATCCTTCATTTATGTTTCCTCTGGAAGCAATCATCTTGTGGTCATTTTTTTTTGTGCATAAGTAAAAACTGGGGTTTTGTAGTTACTACAATGGCCAAGAATACCCTTAATCACCAAAGTAAAGCCAGGTGGGTACTGAGCGCTCTCAGAGGCAAAAATGTTGGCAATTTAATCAGGAAGTTTTGAATGAAGATTACATGTGGCTTTAAAACTATTAATCCTACTTGTTGAGACGTGTTCATGTTTCCTGGTGTGGAATCTCATTTGTTCTGCATTGGATTAAATCCACTTCAGCGTAAAAGGGAAGTTACTCAGGTAATTGAAGTCCTCTGTTGTTGCACACCTATTTTTATACTGTTCAAGTGGTGTTTTAGCATAGTCAGCTTTTTGCTCCAGAGGATCCATGTGTGTCATAAAAGATTATTTTGTGTTTCTCTTCCGTTCACACACCGCTCCCCCCACCCAGTATTCAGTCCTCTGACTCCACAGATTTTGAATGGTTAAAATGAATGTACTAGTTTTTAGTTTTTTGTCCATATAAAATGTTAATACTCACACGGCCAAACTAAAAACACCAAAGTAAGAATGTCTTTGCAGACAACCCTTTTCTCTGAGTAACGTCATGTAACTCAAAGGAAAACTGTATATACTGGATATATTCTCAAAGTTGTCAAAAGATGAAGCCCTATTAGAAGGCACAGGATGGAGGCAACAGTCTTATTAATATTCCAGAGGAATATTAATTTAAGGAGGAAACAAAGAGTCTTAAATTCCCCGTGGGATTCTAGGAGTGATATTTGTGATGCTCTAGAGAAAAAAAACTGAAGTTACTACTACACAGTATTTTTTACAGGTAGTCAGTCCAGTGTTGTGCTGCTTCTATGATGTATATACGAGTCACGATGTTTACAAAAATCAGAGATACATTCTAATTGTGAGCTTAAAGTGTTCCTATGTATGGATATGTTATATGTTATAAAGCTGTTTTGATGTTTTTGTTTTTTTCATGTGTTGGTTTATGGGATGTTGGCAATATTTGGTTATGTACATAGGCCAAAACAGAACAGTTGAATATCTTTGTAATTTACTATACTTAGCCTGCATGATTGGCAGGGTAGCTCACATGATCTATTATACCAAAGAGAAAAGACATGATAAGCTGCCAGAGAAGAGGTTATACTGAAGATTTTATTTGTATTATCCTCCACCATCACGTTTACAGTGACCAGATTGTCTTAATTTTGCAGTAATATTTTATTTTTTTCTTGTCTTTAAAAAAATATTTTGCTATTATATATAAAAGACCAAAACCAAGAATGATTGAACTTACAATTTCAGTGTCATATAACAAATTCCCGTTTGCCATAGAGCTCCTAGCTGCTTTTGACAGTCAAAAGGAACATTTTCATTCTGCTATAATTATGACGTAAGCTTGACTGGATTGACTACAATAGTAATTACAGGTGGCTGCATGCCGCAGTGATGAAAATAGAAAAAGACAGACTGAGGGAAACCTTTATAAAGTCATGTTACCGTACCTTGCTGCCACAGAAGATTTAAATATCTGTCATCCATTTGTATCCTTTATAATGGGTAATTTAATGCATTTCTCCCAGGCTTGTGACAACTGAAAGTTAGCCTAATTTGCAGACCATCAAAGAGTATACCATGTTACTGTTGTATAATCCAGTTTTTCACTCAGAGGTCGGGCAATGTCAGAGCATGAAGATCTTTTTTTTTTTTTTTTGTAAATCAAGAACACTTGGAAAATTCTCTTTGACCACTTTAATACCCTTTAATATGGTGTTTTGTTCTGATTGTATTATGTAAAAAGATTGTGTTTTGGAATCAAGTGTACAATAGGGCCAATAACCGTAGAGCTAAGGTTGTATTTCATTGTTTCAAATACCTCTCATGGAAGTATAATGTGTATTCCATTGTCATTTATTTATCTTGTGCCGAAGTGTACTCAGTGGACTTGACTTTATAGTCTTCATGCTTTAGATACTGTAATGCGGGCAGTGACACATCATTCAGTCATTCTCTCTTCACTCCTTTGTGATGTAGGCATGTTGTAGATACCAGTGTAAACTTCAGATGAGATTGGAGGATGCTTTCTGATCTCTATTGTTCATCAGTGAATTGTGAATAAGATAATAAATCTATAATTCTACTGTCTTTTCATATCCTAATAAGACACAAACATCAATAATGTAATAATCTATCCGCATATATTTTATTATCAATATAATATACAAATTCCACTTTAGAAAAAGAGTTTCAAAATGTTGCCAGTGAAAAAATTTGATTTTTTTCTCCCGGTATTTACAGAAAAGCAGAGTTTACTTTTGAGCTTTCTTGCCCCCTCCTTTAGCCCCTCCTTTTGCTCCCTTTTCCCCTTTGTCTCCCTTCTCTCCTGGTTTCTTCCCTTTCCCGTCCCCATCTTCCTTCTTGGATGCTCCCTTCTCGCCTTTTTCACCCTTCTTCTTTGTAGATGCGTCCTTTTCATCTCCTTTCCCCTCTTTGGCACTCTTGCCCTCTTTCTTGCCCTCCTTGGTCTTTTTCTCTCCTTTTTCAGCATCCACCTTCCCAGAAACTGTTTTTACCTCCTCAGTGGCTTCTGCTTTTGCAGCTGCAGGAAAAAAAAAGAAAAAGGGTTAAAGGCTTCACAGCGACATCAGGTATCGTCGACACTCTCTGCCTCTAATTTTAATTGGGTGGGAAAATTTAATCCAGCGGAGTGTTGGGCTAAGTAGGTTGAATATAATGAAGGCGCATCTGTTTCCACCTTTTCTAATAACCATTGTCTGTTTATTCTTTTAATGGGATTGTTTGAAGTGCTTAACAGATGAGAACAGGAGAGCCAAAGTTAACAATCAGGTTTGTTTTCGCTCATTATTATTCAGGAGGCGAGATCTTGAGGCTGAGGCCAACAGAGCTACTGAAGATGCATATCGCATAAAAAGCAGTTTAGTATTGGAGAACGATACATTTGAGTAAAATAAAATGTATTTTTATCTTGTCTCATCTTAAATATCACCCTGCCTGGCTCGCTAACCCTATATATTAGCCCTCGTCTTTGTTTGATTTTTGCCAGATGTGTTGCTGGTATAAGTCTCCTCATCTTAATCTCAGACAGACACTAAACAAGGATATATCCAAGGTTATCACACTTTATCAACACTAAGTGAATATAAACTCCACCAACAAGGATTGATGGGCACCCAACAATGTAACACTCATTAGGACCAACTGTGAAAATTCCTCAAAGGACATACAGACGGCGAGCTGGAGTGAAATATGGTTTCTTCTATTTTTTCTTCTTCTTTGTATGATTTTTCCAAAAGCTGCAAAAAACACTGGCTATATAATCAAAGGCCAAGAAACCAAATGACAAACACACACCAAATGTCAAAAGCTGCCAGAGGGACTCGGAGTAAACCTAAGATCATTCAGTCCCCCGTTTAGCTGAAGTGGGTGAATCCAGCTGACTTAAAATAATCAAGCAACCATAAGAATGTCTGTGAATAGATTTCTTTGTGTTTCCATATTTTGAAGCTGTCTTCTGCTATTATCCTCGACTGTAAAGCTCTTTTCTCTTGGTTTCTTCTAGATCTATCAGACGGGTTATGATTGAACCTGGCGAGCAGAAACAAGCATTTAAATTTCCAACATTTTGATCCCATGTCCATCAGACTCATATGTCATTTAAATTCCAATGTCAGACATGTAGGCTTTGTGCCATTTTGCCAGTGTCCTGTTGTTTACTTACTGCGGTGGGTTAGTTTAAGGTTAAGAAAGGCTCTGACTCTCACTATTAAATGTCAGATGTTCAGCGTGGATAAAACTGGCACAATTTTTGATAAAACATGAAGGCTTAGTGAATTTTAGAGTTGTGACATTTAGAAAATTAAAAAGTGACTTCCATCTCAATAAGTGTATTAAGATTTTGACAAATTCAGCTAAAAATGGCCACAAAGACATCATAAACAGTGAGTGTTTAAGAACAATAACTTTTTATCTTGCCCTGAGATGGGCTTGTAATAAGACTAAAGTTGTTTTTGGAAGTCTTTGCGCATCAAACTATGTTTTCCTTACTGTCTGAGGGGGGCAGATGTGCGAGAAATGCATTTGATTTCTTACAAACAAAAGATGCAACTACTGGCTGACACACGGGAATGTCTTCATTTCCAGCTACTTGAAACTATTCACTTTGAGCTCCAGAAGCAGCAGCTCTGGATGAGAGATGATGGTAGATAAGCGAAGACGACAAATTGGAGGAACTGTTTCACAACTGTCTTCTGTGAGTGTTTCTGAGAGAGATGGGGAGAGAGAGATAATAAGTTGACGCTAACGCTCTGAGGCTTCCATCTCTCACTGTAACAGTAGTTGAAACAGATACAGGCTGTGAAGCCAGAGATGCTCACTACTTTCTTTCCACAGATTTCATTTTTGGAGCCAATATGCTTGAAGCTAGTAGGTGCATGCAAGTGACACAGGATGCCTGACATTTTAGTGGCGTGAAAACCAACTCGGCTCATTTTACAGATGCTCACAATATCTGCCTTTTTGTTTAGCTGCGTTTTTGTTTTATGTTTTTTTTTTTTACTTTTATGCAATGAACCTATTTTATTCCTGATTTGTAAACAGATCTGATATCCACACACATATCCAAAAAATAGGAGTGGACACTTCTTGATCCTCATTTGTAACATTTAATTAATAATTCAGTGCTACTTTTACCGATTAGCCTACTTCGGGAAAGCATTTCATGAATTTGATGTTGCTTTGCATAATCAAAACCTCATTGTAGAAGAAAAAACTCGCAAAACTTTTAATCCTGAGCTTCATATTAACATATTTGCTGTCTTACATTCAGCAACACAGGATTCGTTTTATTTTCTTTACTTACAGGGTCATTTGGTTTGTCAGATTTTACTGCTTAAAAACTTGGCGTTGTGTCAGCTGGTTATATTCCCCGGAGAGAGGCAGCAATTTGCATGTTTGCTTGTGTGTTAGTGCTCCTCTTTTGTAAACCGTGTACTGTGGTGTGTTTTTTTTTTAGCACAAGCATATATGTTTTCACTCTTTTGTTTCCCTTCAGCCCCACTTCAAGACATATGGTCACTCAGTTTATAGCCAATAACAGAATATTTACTCCAGTGCATATTGGACCAACATTTTTTGGTTGACACTAGAGAGTATAAAACTCTGGATGCTTTGACCACAGCAGAGTCATCATGTGCCCAAATGCAGGTCTTATTTTAATAAATGATCACCTGGCAACTCAGTGACTGCTGATTGTGTTGTTTTTTCTTTTTTCTGATTTTTACAATAAATAGTTAATGTACTGTTACATGATATAGCACCTAGAGGAACAGGAAGTGACAGCTGTCTGTGGTTATTTGCCATTATTCTTACCTAAGAAAGCACCATCTTTGAGGAAACGCACCAAAGAACATTTGTAAGAATAAGAACACTTAATCGTTCAAATAATTAAACCCAGGAGTGCCGTGCAGATCGTCCATATACACTAGAAAAAGAGAGCGTGCTTGATTTGCTTTATTTAAAACCACTTTGGAGAAGCAAACAGACAGAGAGGGACGGGGACAAACACAGAGCACAAACAATAGATACGAGGCGTGGTACGTTCATTACAGTTTACAATGATTTTGTAATAGCAATATCCTGTCTTCAGAATTTCTGATCAAATCCGTTTTGTCTTGAAATCCACATTTTCATCAACATGAAGCAAAAAAATATTGGGACATTTAGGGACATAAGTACACAAGAACATACAGTATGGACTACAAAAGCCAAGCTGCCCTATAGAGCCAGAGTAGTTACATTCACAGAAGCAGCACAATACCTACTATTCAGCTCCATTAAAACTCACTATCAAGCAAAGTTTGGAGAAGTTAGATTAGATTGTACCGGTACTCTAATTTCTGACTAGTTCAAAAGTGATGAGGTAAGCAGCTGAATGAGAGATGCTCTTTTCTCGTTGAGCTTCTCTTAAATTTCATTCAAGGAAAACCAGATGCACTAAATATCGAACAGGCTGATGCATGTGTGATAAATGCAAGAAGGGGACTTTTAGAGCAGCTGCCAATGTGCATGCTATGTTTTTTTTTGTTAAAGTGATTTAGCCAAGAGGAGTGTCTGAAGGAAGATAAGAGCTGAAGAAAAGGAGGGGGAAAATATCATGCTGTCTCTGGCAAAGTGAGGGAGCTGGGATGCTCCTCACTGACCCTAACAACTGAGGGCTGGCTGTTGTTAGCACTCTGAGTTTGAACCTGCTCAGAGAGTGTCTGTACTGCAGAAGCATCAGGGGCAGCTGGAAGAGAAGAGAAGAGAAGAGAAGAGAAGAGAAGAGAAGAGAAGAGAAGAGAAGAGAAGAGAAGAGAAGAGAAGAGAAGAGAAGAGAAGAGAAGAGTTTAGTACATGAAAGTATCAGAAGAAGACTTTAACCAAGTGTGAAACATTTTGTCAGGTGAAAAAAAAGAGACAGCAAAAGTTTAATAAATCAAAGCTATCCTAGAAAATAAGTTATGTAAAAAGAGAGCTGTCCTTGATCTTAATCACAAAGCAGAACTGCAATACTAGAGAGAAAAACTTCTGTGATTGTAGATAGAAACCCAAATTCCTATTGTAACTCATCCATACAGAACTGAAGTCACCAGTGTTACCCCCCCATCCATGTCTGCGATGTGCTTTGGTCTAAGGGAGTCTGATGTCTCTCTCTGTCTATCTCTGTGCACTTCACTAATGGTTCAAGAGGAATGCATGGAAAATTCAAGCAGTTATCCATCATTTCTCTCATTTGAAGGAACTGGTAGTTGAAGTATTTAAGGAGTAGGACAGTTCTTGTGAACTTCCGCAGCTGGTAGCTGGTACCTGCTTGCAATTATAACTCAATTATAAACCAATCTAATACTATCATATTAATATTTGAAAGATATGAGAGAGGGGTACTTACAGCCTGGGATCTCAGTCAGCTCATTAAGAGGTGGCACTGTCTCTAATGTGTTGGCGTATTTCTTGGCAGCCTGCCTTTGTGCATGCCTTGCTTCAATTTCCTTTTTTGTTCTGGGAATTCGGCATTTGAATATACAGCACAGAGTGATGACTAAAGGAGAGAAGAACAAGGATAAAGACAGGGTGGCGTTATTTGAATA